TCAGCTCCCTCCCCAGGACCCCGCGCCGCCTCTCGGCACCCAGCAGTCAGAGTTGCCAACTGTGTCTGTGGCATCTGGGTTTCATCTCCACTTCCTTTGTGAACCTGTTAGCAAGATGTGCCTTAAGGCACCTGGAAAGCCTGGGAGAGCTTGTGTGTTGTGCTTAGCATAAAACTGGACAATAATTAAGCATGTTTGGTAGGCTATTTGGGGGTCTGGGAATGCTCCAAAGTGTCCCCATGTACGTTAATGGTTAACTGCTTCTTTGCGTGACCTCATTTCAGCTTACGAAAGGTTTCATAGGGACTTTCTGCTTTTGGATGTCGGGGAAACCTGCATAGATCAGGCGACTTCCCTCTGGAACCGGGAATTTCTGGTCTCACATGCGATGCTGAGGAGCTGGGAACCGGTGGGCGGGTTTCGGCTGGGCAGTCACAGCAAGGACTGCGCGGAGGCTGTTCTGCTTGGTCTCCTCCTGCCCAGCTCCGCTTACCCTGGCTCCTGGGCATGTTACTGGGCACCCCTGCCCCGCAGCTGCCCCCAAGGTCTCTGCCACTCACCTGTGCAATACCTCAGGTTACACAGAGGGGTGCCGTCTAGCTTGTACACGTAGTAGCCCCCAGGGCAGGCCTGCACCTGGACCTTAGAGGACCAGTAGCAGCAGTTGCCAGACCAGTGGGCACAAGCGGTGCGGGTAACGGGGCCGTCCCCAAGGACCGGATGGGCCTCCTTCAGCCACATGGGGGAGTCCGTCTGGCATCTCTGCCCTGGGACGCAGGCCTCTGGCATCCTCACTCCTCCTTCCCCCACGAAGCGGAACCAGCCGCGCAGGTCCTTGTCACACAGCTGGCCTTTTACTGTGTTCTCTGTGCTTCGAGAGGGGTCATCCAGGCGGGTGTAATTCTGGCAGGGGTCAAAACAGAGGGGGCGCTCTGGGGAGCCGGGGGCTCCGCACAGCAGATCCAGCCCATAGGAACCTGGAGGGCGACAGTGAGCTTGGGTTTACTGAGCCCCCCGGAGCCTGCAGCACCTTCCTCCCCAGACACTCTGTCTCAGATGTGCTAAGACCCCTAAGGAGACACATAGCCATTCATTAAGCATCGGCCTGCAACACCTTGGGGTCAGAATAATGATGAGGCCATTTTTCAGTATTTTATAGGCGAAGGGGGAGGGATTAGGTGAAGAGCATATATGCAGCCCGCCGCCCTGGCTCAGTGCTTGAGAAGGCCAAGGGAGGGGAGGTGCGGGTGGGTACAGGTGGGCAAAGGGGGACACTTGCCATAATTTCAATATTAAAAATATTTAATAAAAAAGGAACATTAGATGTCCGCCCCGCGCGTTGAGCTTGGTGGCCCCGCTAGAGCTGAGAAGTGGTCCCCTGTCCAGTCCCCGCTGTGGTCCTGTCTGACCAATATTTTTCTCATCGTATGTGTAATACAGACTCATTGGAAGTGACTCAAATGCCCTTAAAGTAGATAAGGCAGCAGTGAAAGGTGTCATAAGCTCATCCCACCCTCAGAAGTAGCCATAATTTTGCTTTAGACCCTTTATATGCATGTTTAAAATATAGTTTTTTAATGGGTTTAATGCTGTACAGCTTTTTTTCCCCTTACATTTTTTCTTAATGTATCACAGAGATTTTTCCATTGTCAACAGATACCGATCTAACACAAGATTTCTGGCCTCACACTACCGGTGTTTGGGACTGAATAGCATGTGCACTGCAGGGTGCCGAGCAGGCCAGCAGCACCCTCTCCCAGCTGCCTCCAGACATTGCCAAATGCCCCCTGGAGACAAACTTACCCCGGTTCTGAACCACTGCTCTAACAGGACCATTTCTGATTACTGACCTCCTGGTTTTTACCAGATTCAGGGGTTGTGAGGGTAAAGAGACAGAGTGAAGGTGGGGAGACCACAGACTAGTCAGTCTGGGTTTAAATCCAGCTCCACACCTGTTGGCTGGGCGACCTTGGCAGGCAGGTGGTTCAACTCCCCTGAGACCCATTTGCAAAACAACACCTGGGAGCTAGCTGTTCTCAGGCTTCACTCATTCCCGGTCACCTGGGATCCTGATGTTTGTCACACCTGTGTCGGCCTGTCCTATTCTTTACTTCATATGTGGGGTTTTTTTCTGTGATTTTCTTTATAAATTCATTTCATCCCAAGGAATAATATCTATAATTCCATAGGAATGATGTAGCAGTTATATTTCTTTAATATATATGAAAAATAAGAGCCACCAAGACTTCTTTCAGAGTTTGCAGTGCACCCCCACGGTCACCTGGGGAGGTGTGCCCCATTGGGGGAACAAAGCCCTAAAAGGCTGTGAGAGAGCAGGTATAAGACGCCAGCACGGCACCTGGCTCCTAGTGGACGTTCAAGCTAGCTCTCCTCTTTAGCTCCCGTTTGTTGAACAGCGCGAGTGCCCGAATGGTGAACTAAGTGTGCAAACACAATCACATGCTTATGACACACGTTAGAGGAAGTTTGGGGAAGAGATTTCTAAGCTTTGCTTGGAAATAAGTATGTGCTTGTTTTAAGGAAAGGAGTCTGCACTTGTTGCTCTTGGATTATTGCCTGCACACTGGATTTTCCCAAGGGAGGCCGGGAACTGAGCCCCTCCCTCTCCTCCCCCTCAGCCCCCTCCACAGGTGACACGTACAGAATGTTTCACCCCAGTGTTGACCCTGAGACCATTCCTACAAGCGTCTAAGATGCACAATCCATAGATTTTTTTGAAGAACCACACTTAGTTCACCATTCGGGCACTCGTGCTGTTCAACAAACCGGAGCTAAACGTAGCCCTCTCGTTTCACAGACGGGCAACAGGTCCAGGGCACAGTGTCCTCATAAACCCAGGCTCTCTGATCTCCCCATACCTGGCCACGGGAAGTTGGTTCACTGGCGCCCACTCTCCTTGCTGGAGGGTTTCTGATTTGGCTCCTGGAGGGATAATTACTTGATTCTGGCTTCTCTCTTCTTGTTCCTTTGACTTCTAACTTCCAATTTCCCTGCTTCTCTCACTGACCCAGAACAGCCTTCTCTGCACTTCCCCGCTCACTCCCCAGGTATTGCAGGGCATCTGAGATGCCAGGTGAGCAGAGCACTCACCTTGCTGCTCTGCAGAAGCCAGGGTCAGAATGCAGGAGGCGGAGGCCAGCCACAGGACGCAAGAGCCCACCATCCTCTCCATGAACCGAGACATGCAGGTTGCTCAGCAGTATGCAGACTCTCCACGCAGCTAGGGGAAGGGAAAGACCCAGGTGTGGTCAGAGTGACAGAGGCCATTCTTCTGGGTGCAAGGTAAAGAGGGAACTCACATCAGTGCAATACCATGACCTGTCCTAAGTGCCTTGCCTATCTGAGCTCATTGAAAGCTCTGAGCCATCCTCCAAGGAAGGTACTATCATCGCTTCCACTTTACAGATGACGAAACTGAGACTCAGAGAATGCTGATCACAGAAATGTTTACTGAGCCCCTCCTGTGTGCAGCGTTGTGCAGGAAGTTAAATAGTTTGCTTAAGGCCAAAGAAATGGACAGGTGATCTCCTTCATGAAGGGCTGTATTGTTCGAAAGCGGGTGTGACTTGCAGAAAGGAGATGGGGAAATAGGAGGAGACCTGCCAAGAGGATGAAGGGAACAGCAAGAAAAGCCAAGGCAGGCTTAGAGCCAGCTGGCACTGCAGAAAGTCCTAGAAGGTCTCAGGTCGACGCCTACTCAGGTAGACGTAAAAGACCTTGGAAATTGGGTGGAGGGGAGGGTTGTGGTGCTGTAAATACCTAAAAAGGTTGCCCTTTCTTGGTTCTGTGTGCCAGGCACTGTGCTAAGAGACATGTCCTCTGTGAGTGTCGATCTCTGTGAAGGTGGGACCACGTCAGAGGGAGCCCATTACTTGTTCCTAGCACAGTGTCTGGCATACAAGGGGTGCTCAATAAAGGTTTGAGAAATGAATGTCTAAATAAATGGGGAGCTAGGTAGAAACAAATTGCTTTGAAGAGCCTCCCGTCACTCAAATTAATAGCACGTTCTGTTCTGGAAAACCCTTTCCTCGAATGTGCAGATCTTCTTACAGCCTCTGGAAGACATCAGTTAAAGATATCGCCCTATTTCTGGAAGAAGTATCCTGAAAATGTCATGAGAGAACACCCAGGACCTGTACCAGAGTGAAATCTGGCACGCTGGACAAGGGCCAGGGTCCAAACTCCTTGCTAGGTTCTGAAAGCTTCCAGAAACAAAGGACCCCAGCAAGTCCAGTGGGCCCAGGGCCTGGAGAAAGCCCGGTGGGGCTTGAAGCAGGACTTACCCTGGGGTGAGAACACAGAGCGTCCCTCTCGGCCTGCAGTGGAAACGCAGGCCTGCTGTGCACTGTCCTTTTATTGCCGTGTTCCACCCATGTGGCTCTCCACCATTGGTGCTGAGGGATGCCTGGAGTTAATCCCAGGCTTGTTGGCTGTAGGTAAGGTAATCGATTTACCACAAGAGATGATGAAAGAAAGGCCCTTTTCCAGTCACCCTCCCTAATGTAAACGCTTCCAGCAGCCTCGCCACGCGACTGCATTCTTATCAGCGACAGCAATACAGTCACCCCCTTATCTGCAGGGGACTCGTTCCAAGACCCCCAGTGGGTTCCTGAAAACACGGAGAGTACCGAACCCTATATGCACACCACACGTGATAAAGTTTAATTTACAAATGCGGCCCAGTAAGAGATCAACAATAACTGGTAATAAAATGGGACAGTTATGACAACTCACTGCAATAAAAGTGATGTGTCCGTGCCCTCTGACCCTCACACACACGCAATGACGAGCTGCACCGCACTCGGCCTTGCCGTGATGACGGGAGAGGACACGATGCCTGCCGAGGACAGGAACTGAGCGAGTGATGTGGCCGCTGGGACCCAGCGTTAGGCCACTGTCGGCCTGCTGGCCATATGTCGACGACAGGCCTTCTTTCCACAGACTGAATGCCTTTTCGATCCTAGCTAAGCATTTGTCACGCCGTGTGGCTGTAACTTTTCCAGTTTGAGGTGTGACAGCCGAACTAGCACAAATTTCTTTTCTCTTCCCCACAAGTTCACAGGTAGAAAATTCGGTCTTAGCATAGATCTGAGCAACCTCAGCATATAGTTTTTTTCTTTCCTTATTAAGTCAAGAATTCTCACCTTTTCACTTACAGGAAACGCTTTACGGCTTCTCTGTCACATCTGACTTGCCACAGTGTCACTGCTCCTGTGCTTTGGGGCCACTGTTGAGTAAAATAGGAATTGCTTGAGCACAAGCACTGTGATTCTGCGGCATCGATTTGATAGCGGAAGCGGCTACTAAGTGACCAAGAGGCGGGTGGTGTATACGGTGTGGAGGCGCCGGCCAGAGGGATGGTTCGTGTCCTGGGTGGTGTGAGATTTCCTGACATTCCTCAGAATGGTGCAAAACTTATGACTTGTTTTTTACTGGAATTTTCCATTTAATATTTTTGGCCTGTGGTTGGCCACAGGTAACGGAAACCTTGGAGAGCAAAAGCATGGGTAAGGGGGGACGACCGTATGTCCTGAATGCTGGACACACTGGGCACTGCTGAGTCTTTTCTCACATTTAATTCTCACAATCAACCAATGAAGCGGACACCAAACACGAATCAAAAGGAAGCTTACTATCGAAAGGAAAGTGGAGCGAAATCAAACAGGCACTTGTTTGCACAATGGATTTCCAGTTGTACCCTGTGTTCCTACCTAATTCCGGCTGGTGCCATTCAGCGTGGCGCCAGTCAGGGCGAGGGGATAAGTAACAAAGGGGGTGCTTCCCAGTTTGGGCCCATAGACTTTACCCAACGTCAGATATTCAACAATCAGGAGCTTGGGGAGGGCCAACTTGGAGACAGGGAGCTGCGGATAGACAAGGCCCGGGCAAAAAAAAATCAGGAGAGCCTCCCCTCCAATCTCTTCTGTTACGTGGGCTGCCCCAGAGACAGGGAGTATGAAACTGAGCGGACCTGGGCATTTAAACTCCAGGCCGGGACCTGGCTTTCGCGACATGGGAGATAGCAGGGAGCTGATAAAAGAGTCAAAGCTTTTGCAGAACGAATGGCCACTGGCTCTTCTGTGATACGCTGGACTCTTCAAAGAGCCAAGGCAGGGAAGGAGGGGAGCACAGGGATCCTGGCATCGGTAACACCTTCTAGCAAAACCTCAACCTGGACAAAGAAAAGGTGATACGAGCCACCTTCTCTACAACTAGTGCATTTGGAGAAAAATCCCCTAAATGTGGAACTTGAAACAGCTGCAAATGCAGGATTCTGAAATTCACCTGGGCCCACGAAACAGCCCACTGACCCATTCATTTTGGACAGGTACTAACCCTTTTCTCCCCAGTGGTCACTCTCAATCTTCTCCATTCTTTTAAACACTTTCTGGACATCACTACCACTCACTCCCCTGCCCCTCCCTTTTCAGGAGGCAGCCGGTCTCCTCCTTCAAGAGAATTTAGGCCACCACAGCGACTTTACTCAACTTTGTGTCTCCTTCCTCTACAAACATAAACAGCCACCTCCGCCCTCCGCTTCCGCCCCGACGGCCGACGAGGCGATGGTCCTTCTTTTTCACAGTCAGTTCCTACATCCTGCTTCTGACATCTCCATTCCAGTCTGAATCATCAGGCTAAAGCTGCCCTGCTCAGGTCACCTCATGGGCAAATCCACGGCCCCGTCACTGTCCTGTTTTGCTGCTCCCTCCGGGCGCTCTGCCTTTCCTGACTCTCCTCTGCCCGTTTGTATACACCTCCCCTGTCCTTAGCCCTATCCTTTCCCTCCGGCTGTCTGGGAATAACGGCAGGTCCCATTTCCTATCACTCCACATACTCTCCCTGGGAGGTGTCCGGGCACCTCATGGTTTCTGGTACCGTCCACAGGCTGGCGAATTCCAGGTCTGTAGCTCCATCCCTGACTGCTCCCTTGAACTCCCGGGCCACCTGCTCAGTTGCCTGCTGGGCCTCTCTGCTTGGGCTTAGATGCTACAGGCATCTTGAACTCAGAACGTCCAAATGTGAACTCATCAATGCCCCCAAATCTCTCCCTCCTGGTTGGGCTATCGATTTTTTTAAGTTAAATTTATTGGGGTGACATTGGTTAAGAGGATCATATAGGTTTCAAGTGTACATTTCTAGGACACATGGACTGTATATTGTATTGTGTGCCCACCACCGAAAGTCAAATCATCTTTCTCATCCCCATTTATTTGGTCCCTTTACTACCCCGACCCCCTTCCCTCTGGTAACCACCAGACTGTTGTCTGTGTCTATGAGTTTCAGTTTTATATCCCACATATGAGTAAAATTATATGATTCTTGGCTTTTTCTGACTTATTTCGCTTCGCATAATATTCTCAAGGTCCATCCATGTTGTCGCAAATGGGAGTATTTCATCTTTTCTTATGGCTGAGTAGTGTTCCATTGAGTGCATGTCCCATGTCTTCTGTATCCAGACCTCTATCGCGGGACAGTGTGGTTGTCTCCACGTCTTGGCCACCGTGAATAATGCTGCAGTGAACATAGGGGTGCGTATATCTTTGTGAACACATGTTTTCTAGTTTTTTAGGTAGATACCCAGGAGAGAGGTTGCTGGGTCATATGATAACTCTATTTTTAATTTTTTGAGGAATCGCCAGACTGTTTGCCATAGTGGCTGGACCAGTCTATGTTCCCACCAGCAGTGAATGAGGGTTCCCTTTTCTCCACCTCTCCAGCGCTTGTTGATAATAGCCAGTCTAACCTGTGGGAGGTGGTATCTCATTGTAGTTGTGATTTGCCTTTCCCTGATAGCTAGTGAAGTTGAGCATCTTTTCATATATCTGTTGGCCATTTGCATGTCCTCTTGGGAGAGGTGTCTGTTCAGGTCTTCTCCTCATTTTATATTGGATTGTTTGTTTGGTGTTGAGTTGTCTGAGTTCTTCATATATTTTTGGAGATTAACCCTTTATCATCTTGTATTTGGTTGGTTACCTTTTTGTTTTGTTGCTGGTTTCTTTTGCTGTGCAGAAGCTTTCTAGTTTGATATAGTCCCACTCATTTATTTTTGCCTTTACTTCCCTTGCCTTGGGATCAAATTCATAAAATGTTCTATACAATCAAGGTCCCTAAGTTTAGTACCTACGTTTCCTTCTATGTAATTTATTGTTTCAGATCTTATATTTAGGTCTTTGATCGGTTTTG